TGACGAGTATATAGGTTATTAATTATTTTTAGTGCCAGCGGTTTTCCAGTTATAATTAAATTTCAACCTGCAATCTGCAACCTGCGACCTGCAAAATATACCTGCCGGTTTGCTTTCTACTTTCGTATATAGAAAACAAAATATTCAGATGAATTGCTTTTCCTATTACCTTGTGCAAACTTGGAATGCTAATCACACATAAAAGTAACGTTTTATAAATACCTAATAAATTGTTTTACGAGATGGAGATTTGAGATAAAGACAGTGTGTACGACGGCGGACAAAAAAGCATGAACGAGCTTCAATGATATCACTTCGTTCTTCTCGATCAACAGATCACGGCATTCCGGTTTCAACATCAACAGCTGAAGCAACAACAATATCGCAGCCAAACTTTGACTCAGAAACTTGGAGCTTACTCAGCAAGGCACGTAAAAATTAGCACGGGTGATATGGCTCACGCCAAGTATCTCCTGACTGAGTGTGTCGAAAAGGAAATCCCGGGGTACTGCATGCAAAAGTCCTCTCTTCCAATCCTGAGAGTCGAATACCGAGGTAGCATGTACGAGGGTCTCAAAACAGAAGCTGCCGATGAAGCGGACTTGATGGTCGTGATAAAAGCCACGGAAGCAGAAGTCGCCATTGTTGAAGCAGTAGTCCCAGGGCACGCGTTCCTGAGGGTAAGATGGCAACAATCTTCTTCCTTCCCCCTTCCTGCAAGTTTTTTCTTGGAGAAAAAAAGTGTATTATACCACATTCTGTCCGTCATACCTGGTTTCGAAATCTCGTTTCTGGAGCTTGATTTTCAACGAAGATTTTCATCTTCACAGTACACGCTGTGAGTGGTGGATAATGGTTCTGCCGTGCAGTTGAACATTTACTTGAAGCTAACCCGCTGCTGTCTGTGGATCTCGTGCCCTGTTTCCACATTATGGACAAGTAATTCGTGCCCAAACGTTAAAAAAGATGGAAAATGGTTGTAAATCGTGAGCTTCTGTGGAAGCAATCTTTTCCTATACAGGACATTGAAAACAACGATTACATCACATGGACCGGGATGACCATGGCTGCAGGCATGAGCTTCTTAGGCCCGGGTCCAACGCCTTACTTCACATGAGCCGAACCTGATGACAGGTTGGGTCGACTCAAATAATTAAAAAACGCCTGTTTGAGTCAAACGTCGAACTTAATTCAGTCCAGCCGATCTGCTACACCAAATAAATAACAAAAGCAGTCTTGTTCAGTGGTTTTTCAAGGTAAAGTCAAAATGGCGCCTTTAGACCTTTGATTATGCGTTTGCTTCGACTCATGTGAAGATCACCGTTTGACCCAAAGTCGGTCTTCAGGCGTTATTCCCGGCTGCCAGGCGTGAAGAACGCCTCAGCCGCTCCAATTAAAATCAGTCGAACTTAAATGGGTCAAACGCCGAACTACACATGAGCCTAATTGGTTGAATTGGGTTCGGCTCATGTGAAGTACGGCGTTTGACCCGGGCGTTAGCATCATCAAAACCATCGTTAAAAAAGGCTTGTATTCTTCGCTTGTTGAGCTCATACCATGTAAAGCATGCCTTTCTGCACTACCTTGCGAATCCTCGGTCGATCCTCGGAATTGGAGCGGTGAGGACTCTCTGGGGAATAATTTTCTTGGATTTATGAGTTCATTGTGCGGTTTGCTGACAAAAGGTTCAATCCCACACTTCTGGGAGGCACATTTCAATATTCTGGAAAACATGCCAAATCCAGGAAATATTAATCTTTTGGCTTGTCGCGGTGCAAGGATCGTTAATGCCATTCTTCAGGGCCAACTTCATGTTGTTTAGTAGAATAAAGAATTAACTATGGTTTGATTGAGTAGTTGGCCTGGTTTACACTAGCAACATGTAAAGACATTACTTAAAATTAACTAACTGGCCTCCTATTAATGTTTTGGCCTCCAGTGTGAACAATACAACAAAATCAGTGGCATAGCAGGAACAGAATGACAGAAGCGTAAAACTGATTTTTTTTTTCTTTGCGTTATGTCCATTTCGTAATGCCATTAGTATGAACTTAATACCAGGCTTGACACCAGCAGTGACCACACAAGAACATGTTGAGTCAGTAGGTGTTCATATAGTTTTTGTTAAACATCAAGAAGTATGGTTACATTTTACATTATCATATTTTGTGTCATGGTTTCCAAATGACATTAGATTAGTTTCTCAAATGATTCCTGATCTTGAAAAATATCACTGAAAGGTTATTAGAAGATCGCAAGACTCAGAGACGATTTTGAAGAAAATACTTGTAATTTTGGTTGAAGTAGAGTGCCATTTAGTTAATTAATTAATTAATCAATTATTTAATTAATTTTCATCCGAAATTAAGTTACCTCAAATACGAAATTATACTGTGAGTAATAAATCATTGAAAGTGATTAACAGAAAACTCTTAGAATAGCATTTTTATGGGATTATATTTTGGATAGAAAACTATATCACATTTAAGAGAAAATGGTGACAAAATATTTTTTCTTATTCTTACAAACTGTTTTTTCTTAGTCTACCTAACAGATATAAATTAAAACACTTCACCTTTTACATCTCAGATCGAGATTCTTAACACGGTCAGCTTGATTGCTACTTTTACATGAAGGTCGGCACATAGTCCCTACAAGTCGCGGGGACAAGTCCCGTCGTGTGAACTGGCCATCTTTGCTCCAAAATCTAGTCGCAGGGACCTGCGAATAGTCCCACGAAGTCAAACCAGTTTGAATTTTGGACTTGTTCCTCAAAACGCTTCGTGTGAACTGTTCGCGGGAAAAGTTCCTGCGGCCAGTCCCTTCGTGTGAATTCTTCAGGGTACCAGTTGCAGGGACTAGTGTGTGCCGACCTTAACTGATGAATGCGTAGAAAATGGTCCAGTGATGATTGACCGAATGGGCGAGCAAATGAAGAACTAGTAGAGTGAGAAAATCAAGAGAAATTGAAATTCTTAGTGCTTTGAAAGCACTATAAGCTCGAGCATATTTTGTCCCGGGGTGGATGGATTTCATTAGTTCCAGAGAATTAGGACAATTTTTCTGAGAAAAAGCGGAAGTCGCGTGGCAAGATCCGAGAGGGACTTGATTGGCTGAAAATGCCATCGAGTTGGCACTTTGCTCATCAAAACATTTATTCTCCTGATATTTAGTATAATCTTTTTGAATTAGATTAACTAACTCTCACAATTTCGCGATTTCACGCCTTTCAAAAACCAGGTAAGTTGATCGCGATTGTTCCTTACTACTGTATTTGTAAGAAGAGCACGCTTTTTCTAAAGAAATTATTATAATTATTATTTTTGTTCACAGTGTGCTATTAAATATGGTAGCTTATTTATGCAGAGTCTTTCTTCCGTCGTTCGATATCAAACGAACCAGATAAGTTGTTTCCGATTGGAACACATCTATTGATTCCTTAATTTTAATTTCTGCTTGATTTGGCAGACAGCTTTGAGAGTTATCGATGTAAATATTACTGTTTTCAGAAGTGATTTCAACTGAGCAATCCTCGCTTTTGACTATTTTGAATTTTAAACGCCATTTTAATCCTTCGATGTTGTGGGGCCACTCTGTTCAGTAGTTTTTATCCGATCGAAAAGTCTCACTTTAAGGACGCATTAAAATGTAGTCGTACTCGTTTGATAGTTAAAGTATTCCCTTTATTTCGGCGGATGATAGCCTGAAATCATGGGTAGATGTAAATTTGTGCTTTAAAGTTAAATATGGCGTTCTCCGATTAAAGTACATCGTTCGCACTTTGTACATTTACAGCGACTAGTTTGGCTGTAAACAGATTATTTACATTTGTGTTCTGACGTTCTGACGTGCTGACGTGCGCACGTAACTGAAGTTAACTGACGCTTGGTGAAAGGTTGGGAGTAAAACCTGATGAACGTACCCATTCCTCGTTTATGGCATATTGCAGATCTAGGTCAAACCAAATTGCATCTCATTGTGGTTGAATAAGGCATGGTGGTGAGGGTTATGTCGAGGAATAAATTTGGAAAATTGAACTCCGCACATGATTTATTCGGCTTTTATTATGTGCGGTTTGCGCGCTTTGTTGTCTCACAGAGGGCTACTGCAAAGAGGTCAGTCAACTCCGGCCAGCATCGTACAAACTGACCTCGCTATAAAGGATGTGCACAAGACATAAGAAATTAACTGAAAATTAAATTCCGCTTTAAATCAAATCAAATCAGCTTTAAGGGCTTGTTGTACTCTTCTGCACATGTGCGGCGATTTTGTTTTTGGACCGTCAGTGAAATTTTCAAAGCTAGCTTCGATGTGAAACATCCTCATCAATCTATCTTGTGGGGGCTGTGAAAGTTGTAGTAACATGCGGTTTTCGGGAAATTGTTTGTCATTTAAGGATTTTTATAACATATTTTGGTGTTTTTGTTTACGTGAAGAACTTGTTGTCGTCGAAAGATGGTGTGCAACCCAGCTCGTTCCATACAAAAATTACCATAAAGCCGCTCGAGAAAATCGGAAATTATTCCGGGGAGGTCGAGAATGGTGCTTAGTCACACGATTTCTATTGGTCAAAAAGACGAGCTGGCTTTCTAACTCATGTAAACAAAGGTCCTTAATTTAATTTGCACTCCACCTAGCGCGGCGCGAAAGCGGAGAACCAATGACGTCTGTTTGCTGAAGCTTGCGGGGTTTTATCTTATTTTATATGTTTTATCTTATTTTGCCTCAGACAATGTGGGCTTGGAACTGGCTGGTAGGAGACGACACATTAACAAGGAAACTTCGTAATTATTCTGCCAAGCATGTGAAGATTTCCGAAGCTGACATGACTCTTACAAAAAAGCTGGTGAAAGATTACGTTGAAAACCAGGTCATGTGGTACTGTCGAAAGAAATCCTCGCTTCCCATTCTGAGACTGGAGTACACCGGAAGCGTGTACGAAAGGCTGAAGACAGAAGCTGCTGATGAAGTGGACGTCATGGTCGTACTGAAAACCACCGCGCCGTGGTTATGGGGTGATCCGGAAGTCATGGTGGAAGATACAGATGTACCTGGGTACGTACGGCTGAAGGCAAGATTGGACACAAAATTTCGCAGGTACGCAGGACCCGAAGGTTACATACATCCTGAGCGGCTTCGCAATGGCTGGTTCTACAGTCTTGTCGAACAAGCAATAAATGATTTCAGATCTAGATCACCGCGTTCTGATGTTGATATGGTTGTGCGAGCCCACGGGCCAGCTGTTCAGCTGGATATCTTCAAGAAGGAATCTGGTATGATGTTGTTGTCAGCAGATCTGGTTCCTTGCTTTCAAATCGGAGCAGACAGCTTCTATGTGGCCAAGCCCTATAGAGGACGAAGATACGTTTCTAGTCCTGGTCTTCTTTGGAGGCAGTCGTTTTCATTAAAGGAAAAAAGCATCTTAGAATACATGGATAGAGATCATGGCTGTAGGCACGAGCTCCTCAGAATCGTCAAAACCATCGTGAACAGGGAGCGAACCTCGCTCGGTAGACTCGAGTCGTACCACTTGAAGACAGCCTACATGCATTATATAAAAGAAAAACGTGGAAACTGGACCAGCCGGAACTCGCTGGGGGAACACTTTGTTGGCTTTCTTGGGGAGCTGCAGAAGGCCCTGGAAAATGGAAATCTTGCGCACTACTGGCTGGGTGGCGTAAACGTTCTGGAAGACATTGATGAGGTGGTGATGAAGAACATGGCATATCGTCTGAAAAGGATCCTGAATAGCGAAGTAGAAAGGGATCGGATTCTTGAATAGCGAACAGTTTCGCTATTTTTCATTGTTTTCAAACAGACAATGATCACATCGAACTCTACACCCTCCTCTTATTTAGGCCTAACAAACAAACTAAGCGAAAGAAAAGAACTAGTGAAATTTAGGAAAGGCAATCACAAAGTAAGAATTGAGACTGGTGGATGCCCTATTTGTGCATCTAATCAAATTGAAGACGAATCTCACTTTCTAAAATATTGCAATAAATACTCTATTCTAAGAAATAAATTTTATGAAAAAAATAGAACATATCATTCCGACTTTTGAAAAATTATCTTCGTTAAGAGCCATTAGCGAACTTATGACTTCTTCAAATCATTATATTAATATTCAATTAGCAAAAATCATTTCATCTTGCTTTGATCTGCGCAATATTCTACTTTCAAATCAAACCAATGTAACTTGATTGCTGCATCATAACATTATTATTTGATCACGATAATCGTCACTGTTTTAGTTTTAGTTTACGAAAGTTTTTGCAACACTGTATGTATTTATGGTCATGCAAATAAAGCTAGTTGTTGTTGTTGTTGTTGTTGTTGTTGTTATGTAGCTTATTACCACGTCACAAGACATAGTAACAAATCAGGGATTTAATTTATATATATGAGCTATTGTAAAATTCGTTAGAAGGGCTAATGATATCCTTTTAACGAACATTTCGAATTGCAACTACAGTTTACCGTGCGTGTAAACCATACAAGAAATACGTTAGCATTTTAGAGCCCAGACCCTTGGCTTTCTTGACAGGGTCATGCACAAAAGAGAAGAGCTCTGGGGTCGAGAACGATACATTTGTATCTTGTGTATAATCGTATATGCGGCTGGCTTTTTTGCGAATGCCGAACTAGAGATGACGTGGCAGCCAAACGATACCAAACTGGGGATGACGTGACATGTATTTTAGTCACTTAGTTGACCTTACGACTGGTGTTCTCCCTAAACTAACAGTTAAAGTCAGAACGTAAGGTAATAATATTAAGACGCAAAGTAGAAGATTCTCTGCTGTTGTTAATTGAAACGCCACGGTGTTTTCGGATTATATATATTATGAGTGAAAAATTAAAACACCAAAAAATAGAGATATTAAAAACTTTGTGGGGGATTCTTTAAAAGCAAATTTAGAGATAGTTGCTGACAGGGGTAATTTCAACAAAATGTGTTTTTGCCACGCGTTGTTTACAATGTCGATGGGATCTTCCTACTTAGGGCATATAGCGCTTTCCAGAATCCTATTTGTGTTTTCTAGGACAACAGCACATTCATACAGGAACCAGCAATGACCTATGTGTGATCGATTAAGTTGTTTGTCTGGTGTCTAAAAATGTTCTGAAGCAGCAGCTAACAGCGGTAGTGAGTCGTGAGTGGTGAAGAAACCAAGGATCTTTTCTCTGTGTGGAAGTTACCCCAGAGAATCACTGTTGTTTGCATCATTAGGTTGGTATTTGTTAACGTAGACATGAGTTTTCTAGCGATCAGATCTGTAAAAAAAAAAGATAAAGGAAAGAAACTGCACCCTTTGAATCAAACGTTGGATTTGCCTAATACCACGATTAAGTCAATTCGGGGATATAGCAAATTTTGGCCGGAAAATATCGAGTATGGGGAGACTGAAACTAAAAAAAATGCATCAGTGCATTGCAAAGGTTAAGTATAGAGATAAAACAATTAGATTATGAGCTCGAGATTTCTATCGCGCGATAGTTGACGAGGGCTCAGCCCTCGTCAACTATCACGCATAGAAATCGAGAGCGAATAATCTAATTGTTTCAGAATAAATCTACTAGTCGTTCAAAACTTTATCCAAATCCTCTTCACACATACTTCCTAAACGCCAAGAAGCGGCCGTCATTTCGTTAACAAGCGCACACTGCTACGCTACTCACTCTCTATCACAGAATAGATAGTGTGTGGCGTAGCCAATCAGAGAACGCCATTCGTGATAGAACGCTAGTAGATTTAGACTAAAACTGGATAGATATAAATGGATAACGTTATCCACCCTTTCAAGAAATGGATCCTGACTAAACTGATATATAGAAATGAAAACAATCTTGTGATGAGATGACACCTTAACCATGGGCAAGATTTGGTTTGGCTAGAGTCAAAGTTTGAAGTGTCCATTAGTTACTTGCTATTTAAAGTACATAATTTTTGTTGAGAAGGTGGCTGGCCTTTTTCGTGATGTGTTGTGAAATATTCCACGAGTCGCTTGGTCGATTTTCCAGTGTAAAAAAAAAATCTTTCGATTCTGAAGTGAGTATGGTGGAAATCTATTAGTCACGTGAGCTTGGTTGAACCAAGTCACACGCCAAAACATACCCGTTTGGGGCCGGAAGTTCAAATCCACGGTCTCGATTGAGCGTGGCGGACTGGCTCAGAATTTCCAAGGCCTCACGAATTCTCCTTCTAAAGTTGTTTTCTTCTCAAGCTATGATAGCCGCCTTACTCTCTTCCAACTTGTGGACTGTGTCCACAAGGTGTTAAACGGCGGAACGTGTCGATCCCCGCCATATTCACTTGAGAAAGACGCACATTGACAGCGTCGAAAGCTTTTGATCGCTAAAATATTGACTCTGCTTCCGTCTCTCGTTTCTTACTATGTCTGTTACAGAGTCGGGAAACAATATCTTTACTCGATGTAAATATTTAACATGGCCGGAGAGAATTGCGTACCTATGAAACCTTTCTCATCCATTATGCATTAGGTCATGTAGGCGTTACCGAAAGAGCCCAGAAAAGGCGACTCACTAACAAGAACTCTTCGAAAAATTTTCAATGACAATGTAAAGATCAGCAAAGAGAAGATGCTACGCGCCAAAAAGCTGGTGAAAGATTACGTTGAAGACGAAGTCATTCCTTACTGCAAAAGAAACTCTCCGCTGCCTCTACTGAGACTAGAATACACCGGCAGCATGTACGAAGGGCTAAAGTGCGAGGCCGCCGATGAAGCGGATCTCATGGTAGTTCTGGACACGACCGACTTAGAAGTGGTACTTGAAGACGTATCAGAGGTACCAGGCTATGCTAAGATTAAAGAAGACATCAACTCGACACCTCTCCGTAGATACGTTGACCCATGGGGATATATAATTCCTGCACAGATTAGACTGGCTTGGTTCTACAGTCTTGTCACCAAAGCTAAGAATGCCTTTGAGTTGAAATTACCACTGTCACCTGTTTGCTTAAGAGTGTCCTCTCACGGACCCGCTGTCAAGCTTGATATCATTCTTGATGCCACCGGAGCGAAGAAAACTCTGTTATCAGTTGATCTTGTGTTATGCTTTCAAATTGGGTCCAGCGACTACTACGTGGCCAAGCCTTACGAAGGGAGAAGACCTGTTTCTGATGCTGAGCTTCTCTGGAGGCCATCATTCTCACTCAGGGAAAAAAAGGTGCTGAAGAAAATAGATAAAGAAGATGGCTGTAGACGCGAACTCCTTAGAATCGTCAAAACCATCCTAAAAAAAGAAACGACGTTTGCAGGACTGACGTCATATCACTTGAAGACCGCCTTTATGCACTACATGACTGACACGACCGAAAATTGGCCTGGAGACCGTTCGCTAGAGGAACACTTTCCAGGTTTTCTCGGAAAACTGCAGAGCTATTTGACGGATAGACAACTACCTAACTACTGGCAGCCACGAATGAACCTCCTGAAGGATTTAAACCAAAAAGTACTTGAGCACATGGCTTCTCGTTTAGCAAAGATGAAGGTATGTTCAAAGATGTGCACAGGATGTGTTTTTTCAGAATTGGTACCTCTTAGAGGTCAAAAAAGAAATTTCAAGCCACGCCCACAAAACAGGATCTTAGTACCTCTCAAGGATTCTTTTCAAAATTTCCAACGAACACNACTCCGCACATGATTTATTCGGCTTTTATTATGTGCGGTTTGCGCGCTTTGTTGTCTCACAGAGGGCTACTGCAAAGAGGTCAGTCAACTCCGGCCAGCATCGTACAAACTGACCTCGCTATAAAGGATGTGCACAAGACATAAGAAATTAACTGAAAATTAAATTCCGCTTTAAATCAAATCAAATCAGCTTTAAGGGCTTGTTGTACTCTTCTGCACATGTGCGGCGATTTTGTTTTTGGACCGTCAGTGAAATTTTCAAAGCTAGCTTCGATGTGAAACATCCTCATCAATCTATCTTGTGGGGGCTGTGAAAGTTGTAGTAACATGCGGTTTTCGGGAAATTGTTTGTCATTTAAGGATTTTTATAACATATTTTGGTGTTTTTGTTTACGTGAAGAACTTGTTGTCGTCGAAAGATGGTGTGCAACCCAGCTCGTTCCATACAAAAATTACCATAAAGCCGCTCGAGAAAATCGGAAATTATTCCGGGGAGGTCGAGAATGGTGCTTAGTCACACGATTTCTATTGGTCAAAAAGACGAGCTGGCTTTCTAACTCATGTAAACAAAGGTCCTTAATTTAATTTGCACTCCACCTAGCGCGGCGCGAAAGCGGAGAACCAATGACGTCTGTTTGCTGAAGCTTGCGGGGTTTTATCTTATTTTATATGTTTTATCTTATTTTGCCTCAGACAATGTGGGCTTGGAACTGGCTGGTAGGAGACGACACATTAACAAGGAAACTTCGTAATTATTCTGCCAAGCATGTGAAGATTTCCGAAGCTGACATGACTCTTACAAAAAAGCTGGTGAAAGATTACGTTGAAAACCAGGTCATGTGGTACTGTCGAAAGAAATCCTCGCTTCCCATTCTGAGACTGGAGTACACCGGAAGCGTGTACGAAAGGCTGAAGACAGAAGCTGCTGATGAAGTGGACGTCATGGTCGTACTGAAAACCACCGCGCCGTGGTTATGGGGTGATCCGGAAGTCATGGTGGAAGATACAGATGTACCTGGGTACGTACGGCTGAAGGCAAGATTGGACACAAAATTTCGCAGGTACGCAGGACCCGAAGGTTACATACATCCTGAGCGGCTTCGCAATGGCTGGTTCTACAGTCTTGTCGAACAAGCAATAAATGATTTCAGATCTAGATCACCGCGTTCTGATGTTGATATGGTTGTGCGAGCCCACGGGCCAGCTGTTCAGCTGGATATCTTCAAGAAGGAATCTGGTATGATGTTGTTGTCAGCAGATCTGGTTCCTTGCTTTCAAATCGGAGCAGACAGCTTCTATGTGGCCAAGCCCTATAGAGGACGAAGATACGTTTCTAGTCCTGGTCTTCTTTGGAGGCAGTCGTTTTCATTAAAGGAAAAAAGCATCTTAGAATACATGGATAGAGATCATGGCTGTAGGCACGAGCTCCTCAGAATCGTCAAAACCATCGTGAACAGGGAGCGAACCTCGCTCGGTAGACTCGAGTCGTACCACTTGAAGACAGCCTACATGCATTATATAAAAGAAAAACGTGGAAACTGGACCAGCCGGAACTCGCTGGGGGAACACTTTGTTGGCTTTCTTGGGGAGCTGCAGAAGGCCCTGGAAAATGGAAATCTTGCGCACTACTGGCTGGGTGGCGTAAACGTTCTGGAAGACATTGATGAGGTGGTGATGAAGAACATGGCATATCGTCTGAAAAGGATCCTGAATAGCGAAGTAGAAAGGGATCGGATTCTTGAATAGCGAACAGTTTCGCTATTTTTCATTGTTTTCAAACAGACAATGATCACATCGAACTCTACACCCTCCTCTTATTTAGGCCTAACAAGCAAACTAAGCGAAAGAAAAGAACTAGTGAAATTTAGGATAGGCAATCACAAAGTAAGAATTGAGACTGGTGGATGCCCTATTTGTGCATCTAATCAAATTGAAGACGAATCTCACTTTCTAAAATATTGCAATAAATACTCTATTCTAAGAAATAAATTTTATGAAAAAAATAGAACATATCATTCCGACTTTTGAACAATTATCTTCGTTAAGAGCCATTAGCGAACTTATGACTTCTTCAAATCATTATATTAATATTTAATTAGCAAAATTTATTTCATCTTGCTTTGATCTACGCAATATTCTACTTTCAAATCAAACCAATGTAACTTGATTGCTGTATCATAACATTATTATACGATCACGATAGTCGTTACTGTTTTAGTTTTAGTTTACAAAAGCTTTTGCAACACTGTATGTATTTATGGTCATGCAAATAAAGCTACTTGTAGTAGTTGTTGTTGTTGTTGTTGTTGTTGTTGTTGTTATGTAGCTTATTACCAGGTTACAAGACATAGTAACAAATCAGAGATTTAATTTATATATATGAGCTATTGTAAAATTCGTTAGAAGGGCTAATGATATCATTTTAACAAACATTTCGAATTGCAACTACAGTTTACCGTGCGTGAAAACCATACAAGAAATACGTTAGCATTCTAGAGCCTAGACCCTTGGCTTTCTCGACAGGGTCATGCACAAAAGAGAAGAGCTCTGGGGTCGAAAACGATACATTTGTGTCCTGTCTGATATAATCGTATATGCGGCTGGCTTTTTTCCGAATGCCGAACTAGAGATGACGTGGCAACCAAACGATACCAAACTGGGGATGACGTGACATGTATTTTAATCAGTTAGTTGACCTTACGATCGGTGTTCTCCTAAAATTAACAGTCGAAGTCAGAACGTAAGGTAATAATAAGAAGCAAAGTAGAGGATTCTCTGCTGTTGTTAGCTGAAATGTCAAGGTGTTTTCGGATTATATTATGAGTGAAAAATTAAAACAAAAAAAATTAGAGATATTACATGTAAAAGTGTTGTGGGGGATTCTTTTAAAGCAAATTTAGAGATAGCTGCTGACAGGGGTAATTTCAACAAAGTGTATTTTTGCCACGCGTTGTTTACAATGTCGATGAGATCTTCCTACTTAGGGCATATAGCGCTTTCCAGAATCCCATTTATGTTTTCTAGGACAACAACAAGTTCATACAAGAACCAGCCATGACCTATGTATGATCGATCAAGTTGTTTGTCTGGTGTCTAAAAATGTTCCGAAGCAGTAGCTAACAGCAGTAGTAAGTCGTGAGTGGTGGAAGAAACCAAGGATCTTTCTGTGTGGAAGTTACCCCTGAGAATCTCTGTTGTTTGCATCATTAGGTTGGTATTTGTTAACGTAGACATGAGTTTTCTAGCGATCAGTTCTGTAAAAAGAGATAAAGCAGAGAAACTGCATCGTTTGAATCAAACGCTGGATTTGCCAAATACCACGATTAAGTCAATTCGGAGAAAGAGCAAATTTTGGCAGGAAAATATCGGGTATCGGGAGACTGAAACTAAAAAAAATGCAACAGTGTATTGCAAAGGTTAAGTATACATATTAAACAGTTAGATTATTTGCTTGAGATTTCTATCGCGTGATAGTTGACTCGGGCTGCGCCCTCGTCAACTATCACGCATAGAATCGAGAACGAATAATCTAATTGTTTTAGTAAAAATCTACTAGTCGTTCAAACCTTTATCTAAATACTCTTCACAGACACTTCAAAAACGCCAAGAAGCGGCCGTCATTTCGTTAACGAGCGCACACTGCATGCTACGCTACACACTATCTATCACAGAATAGATAGTAAGTAGCGTAGCCAATCAGAGAACGCCATCCGCGATAGAACGCCAGAAGATTTAGACTAAAAAGGGATAGATATAAATGGATAACGCTATCCACCCCTGACTAAACTGGTATGTAGAAATGAAAACAATCTTGTGATGAGATGACACCTTAACCAAGGGCAAGATTTGTTTTGGCTAGAGTCAAAGTTTGAAGTGTCCATTAGTTATTTGCTATTTAAAATACATAATTTTTGCTGAGAAGGTGGCTGGCCTTTTTCGTGATGTGTTGTGAAATATTCCACGAGTCACTTGGTCGATTTTCCAGTGTAAAAAAAAATCTTTCTCAAGTGAGTATGGCGGAAATCTATGTGTCCCGTGAGCTTGGTTGAACCAAGTCATGCGCCAAAACATTCCCGTATGGGGCTGGAAGTTCAAATCCACGGTCTCGATTGAGCGTGGGGGACTGGCTCAGAATTTCCAAGGCCTCACGAATTCTCCTTCTAAAGTTGTTTTCTTCTCAAGCTATGATAGCCGCCTTACTCTCTTCCAACTTGTGGACTGTGTCCACAAGGTGTTAAACGGCGGAACGTGTCGATCCCCGCCATATTCACTTGAGAAAGACGCACATTGACAGCGTCGAAAGCTTTTGATCGCTAAAATATTGACTCTGCTTCCGTCTCTCGTTTCTTACTATGTCTGTTACAGAGTCGGGAAACAATATCTTTACTCGATGTAAATATTTAACATGGCCGGAGAGAATTGCGTACCTATGAAACCTTTCTCATCCATTATGCATTAGGTCATGTAGGCGTTACCGAAAGAGCCCAGAAAAGGCGACTCACTAACAAGAACTCTTCGAAAAATTTTCAATGACAATGTAAAGATCAGCAAAGAGAAGATGCTACGCGCCAAAAAGCTGGTGAAAGATTACGTTGAAGACGAAGTCATTCCTTACTGCAAAAGAAACTCTCCGCTGCCTCTACTGAGACTAGAATACACCGGCAGCATGTACGAAGGGCTAAAGTGCGAGGCCGCCGATGAAGCGGATCTCATGGTAGTTCTGGACACGACCGACTTAGAAGTGGTACTTGAAGACGTATCAGAGGTACCAGGCTATGCTAAGATTAAAGAAGACATCAACTCGACACCTCTCCGTAGATACGTTGACCCATGGGGATATATAATTCCTGCACAGATTAGACTGGCTTGGTTCTACAGTCTTGTCACCAAAGCTAAGAATGCCTTTGAGTTGAAATTACCACTGTCACCTGTTTGCTTAAGAGTGTCCTCTCACGGACCCGCTGTCAAGCTTGATATCATTCTTGATGCCACCGGAGCGAAGAAAACTCTGTTATCAGTTGATCTTGTGTTATGCTTTCAAATTGGGTCCAGCGACTACTACGTGGCCAAGCCTTACGAAGGGAGAAGACCTGTTTCTGATGCTGAGCTTCTCTGGAGGCCATCATTCTCACTCAGGGAAAAAAAGGTGCTGAAGAAAATAGATAAAGAAGATGGCTGTAGACGCGAACTCCTTAGAATCGTCAAAACCATCCTAAAAAAAGAAACGACGTTTGCAGGACTGACGTCATATCACTTGAAGACCGCCTTTATGCACTACATGACTGACACGACCGAAAATTGGTCTGGAGACCGTTCGCTAGAGGAACACTTTCCAGGTTTTCTCGGAAAACTGCAGAGCTATTTGACGGATAGACAACTACCTAACTACTGGCAGCCACGAATGAACCTCCTGAAGGATTTAAACCAAAAAGTACTTGAGCACATGGCTTCTCGTTTAGCAAAGATGAAGGTATGTTCAAAGATGTGCACAGGATGTGTTTTTTCAGAATTGGTACCTCTTAGAGGTCAAAAAAGAAATTTCAAGCCACGCCCACAAAACAGGATCTTAGTACCTCTCAAGGATTCTTTTCAAAATTTCCAACGAACACCTCCGTCCTTTTTTATATGGGAGTTACCCCGGGGGCTAGTTTCTTGTAGCGCACTCAATGCCGAAAGTAGTCTCTCTTAACGGCACTTCTAGTAGACGCCTCAAACGGACAGCTGGAGTTGGTCTCCATACTAAAGAATCACCGCTAGGTTTTTAAAACTAGATAGAAGTTTTTAACCACCCATTCACTTAAAACAGACAAACGACTCAATTTAAACAGTCAAAAGATACTCAAGGGATGTTTTTAGGCAAAAAATAAACAAGTAACCTCCGCTAAATCCCTTGAAGTTTATGTCGATCAAAATACAAACTGGGAGTGTCATATTGAAAATACCTTTAAGACGATAGCTTGTGCCATTGGTGCAATTAAACGAATTCGGCATCTCACTCCATTTAATAATGTTTTAATTAAAGTTTATAATAGCCTTGTTCAACCACATTTGATTATTGCAATGTAGTGTGGGGTAACTGTAACAAGGGTCTTTCTGAAAAACTGCAAAGGCTTCAAAATCGCGCAGCTCGCACTCTAATGTCTTTGAACTATGATAGTAATTTGGATGATTTGTTCCGGGCATTAGGGTGGCGAAGACTCTACTATCATAGATTAAAACGGAACTCTATCCTAATGTATAAAACATCAAATGGTATGACACCTGATTATCTGAGATCAAGATTCGTATATCGTGACAACGTAAATGCTTGTCGTTTAAGGAATACCGCACTGAATTAGTTCTTTCACAACCTCGAAATTGTAAATCTTAAGAGAGGTTTTTCGTACAGCGGAGCTCAGTTGTGGAACAACTTACCTATAGACGTCTATAGACCTAAGACAAGCATCTTCACTGACCGATTTCAAATCTAAATTAAGTCGCCACAGTTTAAAGTAATATCTTTAATTTAAGTAAATTTTTAGACACGGCCTCCATGAAAAGCAGTTTTTTTTTCCTTTTTTAATTTTTATTGTAGTTAGGCAGATAGGTAGATAGTCCAGTAACTTTGTTGACTGATGGTAAAACCGTGTATAAACAAAGTTATCCTATCTTATCTTATCTATACTTCAGAACGGATAATAACTGTTACATGCGACTACATTTGGGCACCTTGTTCTTAGCTCTATATCTAGTATTTTATATTTATATATTTCAATTAATGTATTTTAGTTTAGTAGCATACACGACCCCACAAGCTGTGAGGCTTTAACTCTTACCGTGTCAAAATAAAGGTTTTATGTTATGTTATGTTATGTTACAAAATTAGTTAGATGCATTTAACTCTTTTCATCTTAAACAGAGAAGGGCGACAAGCTTTCACGAAACTTGCGACAAAATCCTGCTGAGCCAGAATCTTCGTGAATATTCCGCCACGCACTCGACAACTAGACACATAACAGATGGCAGGGCGGTCGAGAAAGCGTTGTTTTCCTCGCACGGATTACAGAGATTGCAGTTCTTGAACAGCGATGAACGTAAGTGCATGGTTGAGCTCTTTTCCGAGCTCTTTTTGGTTGTCACAACCGTCATTCAAAGGGATGGCGTCCTTTATTTGCTGAGTTCGCATGATGTGAACCAAGCCTTTAACCATTACTGCTGCTTCACTCCTCCCGATCGTTTCTGGAATGGTGATATCGCACTGGGAGAACACTTCCTTGGTTTTATGAACACACTGCGCGGCTTGCTGATGAAGGGTCATCTCCTGGAAGGCATATCTAAAGGAAGGATTTCTCTCGCAGCGAACCGTTGTTCAAGGATCATTGAAAGTGAAGGCGAAAGAAACAAACTCCTTAGAGGGAAGGTAAAAATAATGGTTTGCTCTGCAAAATAGGGAGATTTCTCTTAAGCGTGACCCTCAAAAACAGACGGAGAGAAAAGCCTTGACAAAAACAATGTGCGATTATTTCTTTAATCATACCTAATGTGCTCAAACTCATTAATAATTCATTAAGTTTAAACAAAGGAAATCATGACCGTGACGTTGATTGGATATCTGATCATAATTAGCATAGATTTTTACGATTTGTTTTCTCCATTTTCTCCTTAGTTTTAGTTTCGATTGAGAAGACATATCAAACACTCAAGACAGTATTTGACCACATTTCCAAACACCACGAAGTTCGTCAAAAATATCCCGCTACGCGTCGTATTTTGAACCCTCTTCTAGGTGCTTGGAAATGTGGTCAAACACAGTCTTTCGTGTTTGATATATTACGTAAACTAACTGCACTATGGTCGTTTGCATGCTTTGATTAACCTATGGTAGCGATATTGGCTTATCAAAAAGCTCTTCATACCTTGGGGAAACAGCCAAAGGGTGATAAATCATTATTGAATTGGAGCATTGTAATTTAGCAGCTGTACTTCCTGATAGATACTTTAACTCGCACAAAGATAAATTCGATTGATTAACTAATTAATTAATTAATTAATCATTAAAACAAAAGGATGGCACAAAGGATTTTTTTTCTTTTTGTGGGAGTAGGAAGGGAGAGGGAGAGGTGGTCACATGTTCCTGAGAATTTTCTCTTTTTTGCTTTGTTTGGTGGGAGCAATATACCTCTACCCGTTTATCATGACCACATCAGGGTATTTGGGTGAGAATTGCTGTCCAGTTCACATTCCTTTTACTTATGCATTTATAGATATCGTGGCTTTGGCCTTGGGCACAAGTAGACGACTCCCTAACGAGGAAGCTTCGTGATTATTCCTTCAGTTATGTCAAGGTCCACGAGGTTGATATGGCTTCTACTAGAAAGCTGGTGAAAGGCGTCATTGAAGGCCAGGTCATGCGTTACTGTCTACAGAACTCCAAACTTCCAATCCGGAAAGTGGAGTTCACTGGCAGCGTGTACGAGGGGCTGCAAACTGAAGATGATGAAAAAGTGAGTGTCATGGTAATTCTCAAGACAACGAAATCATGGCTCTGGGGGCAAGAAGTGGAAACAGAATTCACTTATGTGCCATGGTACGTACGTCTCAAAACATGTCGGCGCTCGAAATTTCGCAAGTATGCAGATCCTGAAGGATACATAGATCCTGAGCAGCTTTCAAGTGGCTGACTTTACAGTCTTGTTGCCCAAGCAGTACAATATAGCAGAGAGAGGTAGTCATCAACTTTTGACGTCAATTTAGCCGTGTATACCAACGGGCCCGTGGTTGAGCTTGACGTCATCAAAAAGCAAACTGATGAGATACTGTTGAAAGCTGATCTCATTCCTTGCTTTCAAGTTGAGTCTGGTGACTACTTTGTGGCCAAGCCCTACATTAGGACACCTGTTTCGGGTCCTGAGCTTCACTGGCGGCAGTGGTTTTCACTGAAGGACAAAGAAATGCTTGAGAACATGGACGGTGATGACAATGGCTGTAGGCACAAACTTTTTAGGATCGTGAAAACGATAGTGACGTGGGAGCCAGGGCCCTTGGGAAGACTACCTTCATACCATCTGAAGACTGCCTTCATGCACTACATAAGCAAGCATAATCAGATGTGGGATGGAGAGAACGCACTAGCCGATCACTTCCTTGGATTCCTTGGGGAGCTGCAAATTGCTCTGGAGAATAGAAACCTTCCTCACCGCTGGCTACATGGCGTTAATCTTCTAGGAGAAATCGACCAAGAGCTGCTCGAAAAGATGGCAAATCGCTTGGAAAGGATCCTGAAGAGTAGGGCAGAAATGAACAAAGTTTTTCTGGCCAAACAAACATATTGGTTTCCTAATTCTCGTTGTTGATTGCCATGCATTTCCTATAATATTCGTTCTGAGAATTTGGTGATAAATCAAGACAATATCCCCTTGTTGATGAGTTTCGTTATCCTCATCACCTGTGGACCTTTAGTCGTTCTGAAATTGTAAAGAGAATTTCGATGCTGATCTGCAATGTTAACTCGAAAGATTTGTTAGTTCTGAAATATCCAATCAACAATCTTCAGCCAAAGCGATGTGCGGTTTTATATTCAATGAAGTTGTGAAAGTTAAATAAGTTATAAAAGACTGGATAAAACAAAAGGTGCGATCAGCAGAAATCATGACTGCTTTTTCTTCAAATGTTTGTTTTGGCTACGTCTTTAACCTGTTTTAATCCAGGGTACATGAAGTTAACCTAGAGAATGCAATAATTGTTTAGTAAGATGTAAATCAAACTAATTAAATTTAGGAAAAAACATTTGAGATTGATGGACAGAATACATTTGAGTTGGAAATTTACTCACAGCTGAAAATGACTAAAGCCGCGTGGTTTTGTCATGAAATTTGTTTTTGCTAGTGATTTTTAACTTGGAAAATCCAAGTTGTAGGTAGGAATCGGATATTCAATTCGCTTCTTGATAGACTTTTTGCGATGGCAGTCGTAGCAAAGTTCAAGTTATCAACCTGAAGGTGAAGAGATTTCCTCACGGAGTGATCAGTTAAAATTTTTTTTTTAGCAATGTTTTTCATTTGTTCTTTGCATTTCTGACACAAGTACTCAATATCGTGCCTCAGAAATAATTTACATCGAATAGACTTTTGCACGAGCGTACTTTTGCATGCACTGTACATATTTATGTTTTTTTAAATTTTTAAGATAGACGCAAGACCCTACAAGCCAACCTGTTGCTTTAAACAAAATCGTGTTTAAATAAAGGATTGATGTTGTTGTTGGTCTCCGCTTAATGTAGATTTGGCTGTACTCGACTACCGAAAAAGAAGATATTGAAAATCACAAAATTGATGAGCTGTATGAATTTCCGAGTGATTCAAGGCGTGATAAAACTTTCTAGACGAGAAGCGGACAGGAGAACTGAGGAGAATTCGAACGATGCGTATCGCTTTTATTTACACGGAATTCCAGGGTTACAGAAAATATTAAACTGTGGACATATGGCGAAATAATATGAACAAAACACTGGTAATTTTGATTGACATGGGGCGCCATCTGATTAATTGATTGACTAATTAATTAATTAATTAATTAAACAAATTAATTAGTTTTACTTAATAAAAGCGTTCGTGATTTTATCCGAAAGTAAGAACCCTCGAATATGAAATTACACTGTGAGTAAATCCCTAAAAATGATTTACAGAAAACTCTTAGAATAGCATTTTTTTTTCCCCATGTGCTTATATTTTAGGTAGACAACTATCAAAGGCATATATCATACTTAAGAGAAAATGGTGACACAATTTTTTTTCCTTATTTTTGCGAACAGTCCTTTCTTGGTCTTTGTTTACCTAGCAGATGTTAAACAATTATTTGATGAGGTTTTTGTGATATCCAGAATAATCAAGGTCCAGGTAGGGGTTATCAGCCGAAGCCGAAGCGAAGTTGACATGATTACCCTTAGAAATCATGCACCGTGGTCATACATGACATGACTACCCGTGATCTTGAGTGTCCTTGACATGATTATTGTATAATCTGCAGTTATGACGTCACAGGCGCTGATTTCGAAAATTCACTGTACGCTTTCGGCCAACCAGAGAAGAGATAGTGAGTTCAATGTATAATAAAAATTAAAACACTGTACACATTAAGATTGTTAAATCTGTCATCTTCATAACTTACTAATGCGTATAAAATGGTTAATGATGACTGACCAATGGGCGAACAAATGAACGATGGAAGGAGTGAAAAACCAGTGGCCCTCATATAAATATTTACGGAATAAAAAGATGAACTATAAAGATTAACAATATGGAAAGTTTCTCAAAGATACCGGCAACGACAATATAAAAGACTAAAATATGAGACACACTAAAATATTAAAAAGGAAAGCATCGAATCAAGTCTAACAATTGAAACTAGTAAATAAAAAACCTAGACTATAACATGGTCCAGGTCCTTATAACTGTCCATGAAATGTTTAAAAGTGGATTTTTTTTTGGAAGCTTCTTAGCGCTTTGAAAGCATTATAAGCTCGAGATTATTTTGTTCAGTTATATTATAAACCCAAGTAACGGATTAGATTCCTGGAAATTATGAACATTTTTCCGAGAAAAACCGGAAGTAGCGTGACAAGCTCTGAGAGAGACTCGGATTGGTTGAAAATACCAGTTGGCACTTTGTACTTTACACAAGACATCAATACATTTATTACTTAGGATCTTTTTGCTTTGGATTGACTAATTTTCACGATTTCGCGATTTCACGCCTTGCAAAAATCAGGTAAGTTGTTAGCGACCGTTCTTTACCGCTGTATTTGAAAGAGGAGCACACATTTTCAAAAGAAACTACTGTCACGTTTGTTTACAATGTGCTATTAAATATGGTAGCGAATTACCGAGTCTTTCTTCCATCGCTCGATATCAAACGAACTAAATAAGTTGTTTCTGTATAGAACATATCTATTAATTCCTTAATTTTAATTTTAGCTGCTTGACTGGGCAGACAGCATTGAGAATTGACGACGTAAATACAACTGTTTTCAGAGGTGATTTTAAAGCAATCCTCGCCTTCGACTATTTTGAATTATAAACGCCATTTTAATCCTTCGAAGTTGTAGGGCCGCTATTGTTCAGTAATTTTGATCGATCCGAAAGTAAGACAAATATAATGTAGCCGTACTCGTTTAGTCGACATATTCGCTTTCGTTTCGGCGGATGACAACAAATCCTGGCCTGGGAAGATATAAATTTGTGTTTTGGAATTATTATTAGTATTATTCTCGTCCTCAGTACAGCTTTACACCGTTCACATCTTGTAAGTTTACAACGATCAGTTTGGCTGAAAATAGATTATTTAAAACACTCGTTCTAATAAGACGCCTGGTGAAAGGTTGGGAGTAAAACCTGAACATTTATTTCGGAGATTTGGTACACTTAAATTATGTTTCCCGAGTGTAAACGTATGTATAGGACAGGGCAGGTTATATTATGACAGGATTGGAGAAATATGCCATGATAGGGAGAGAAGAACGAGGAATGGTACAGGGGATCCTTTTACTGTTGGGATTTGCCTATATTTTCACTAGAAAAGTGTGATTTGGGTCACTAGGACGGGAAATCGCAAAATGGGAATGTATCTGGATTTGGGCAAAAACTAGGCTGCGAAATGGGTTGTATACCTCACCCCCCGCC